ACTGTCTCCTCTCCTGTCATTGACTGACTCTGTGTAATTCATTGTAGAGGCGCAAGAACCTGACCTGTGGGCTCAGATCCACACCCCCTGGAGGTCCAGAAGGCCCTGGTTCCTCCCCCATGGACTTCTCCACGGGTTAACTTTATGTCCTCAAACGGTGCCTGCTAACTTTTCCTGGAACTAAGTGACAGGAAAAGGATGCCAGACAGCTCTTGTTTCTTTAACTTAACTTTGGGAGCCAGACCTTATATTCCCACAGTGTCTTAGAAGTCACACAGGGCCGGGTGGTGGTGGCGCACGCCTTTAATCCCAGCACTTGGGAGGCAGAGGCAGGCAGATCTCTGTGAGTTCGAGACCAGCCTGGTCTACAAGAGCTAGTTCCAGGACAGGTTCCAAAACCACAGAGAAACCCTGTCTCGAAAAACCAAAAAAAAAAAAAAAAAAAAAAAAAGTCACACAGGTCAGCCAGTTCAGCATGGGAGGAGGAGGGTCCAGCTCAGGGTCTAGCTGCCTTAGCAGCAATCCCCCATTTCCATCTTTTTGCTAACCATGCAGAACTTTAGTTTTAGGCTGCCTTTCTTTTCCACTCTGATCTCCCCAAATTCCTGTGCGTGTGCCTGCTTGAAGGTGACGACCGTCTGTCTCCTCATCAGTTCTACTGCTCTGTTCTCTTTCCCAAACTTTTCACCTATAGTCTGAACCATCCATTCCCTGCCAATCTTTTTTCTTCAGGTCTTGGAACCCCCTCCCCTCTTAATCCTACGTTTCTGGCTTTGTCCTTGACCTCAGCCTGTGATTTCTTTTCTTTGGCAAGGCACTTTAGAGTCCCTTGGATGAGGCTGGCAGCTTTCTTCTGCAGGATTACATACTCTCCTTAAATCACGGCATTTGGGGCAGGGACGCAGATAGGCAATAAAGAGTACTAAATGTGTCATCGACTGCCAGACAGATGAGGAAAGCACCTCCCTGGACTTTAATTCATCATCTGTCCAAACTGAAGACTTTTAAGGTAGCTGTAACTTCAGGCTTCAGAGTCAGGGCACACACAGGTTTTAAATGCCTGAGTTTTGATGCAGAGCTCCAAGCCTGGGAGCTCTCTGTGGTGAGTGTTCTTGCTGGTTGAAAGGAGGAAGAACAAAGTCCATGTGGAATATCACCAACATCTTGCTATTATAAACTGTCTGGCGTGCTGATGTTTTATCTGATGGTGTCTCCTGGGTCTGCTGGTGGTGAAAGGCGTCCCAGATTTGTGAGGTGTGATGAAAGTGCTGCCTGATTGGCAGAGCTAAAACGTAACTCTCTGACCTCCTGAACTTGGAGCCCTCTTTCCACAGCCGTGAAATGTAAACCCACAGTAGCTGCCGACCTTAGACATTGCCGCTTCTCCCTGGAGCTTTGGCTTTTCTGGTGTATTTAAAACTAAGTTAATAATTTTCAGAATAGGGAAGTGGCCACTCTGAGGTGCTTTTCATTTCCCCAGAAACACTGTGTGGTGACTTCATCTTTGAACATAATTGATTTTGTTAGACAGAAACAGAAACAAAGAGGCAGATTAAGTAGTTTTGAAGACTTTGGTGCCCTAACAAAATAAATCATGGCATTGAATACCAGATGCTGTTTGTACATGGTGGTTACTCGGTTAGTTTGGTGAGTTTGGGGATAGTTCAGCCTCCTGGGCTGCAACCCATTAGGGTAGATGAGGGTTCACCATGCAAACCAGTGTGTACAACTTAGAACTTTATTCGAATGTGTTTGTGTTCAATGCTCCTTTGGTCGTGAACACAGGACACTGGAAGCCCTTCATGTTAGTAACATTAGAAGTAACTGGGTGAAGTTAGACTTAGAGGTCGCTGCAGTGACAACCACGACACCCTGGATCCTAGAGATTATGAAATTCACAGTGAAGGCATGTGGTACCTCCAGTCTCTTTCTTACTCGAAGGGCTCACTCATGGACAGGACAGAGTTCTAGCTGATTTTGACCGACCGCAGTCTATGGAGGTGTGCTCAGAGACGGGTGGGTTCAAGTCGGCACATCCCACACAGCTGTCAAGCTAGCCACTGTCTTGCTTCTTATTTACATACACAGTGGGTTCTGTTTATCAACATTAACAAGCTACATATCTCAAATGAATTGAGTATGTGGGTAATTCTTTTAGTAGGGACAGGGAAATGAAAAAAAATATTTGCAAAAGAAATAGAACTTTTAATAGTCATTGCGGCTTCCTGTGTTTTCATTACTCTTTGTCTGTGTATCTCCAGACCACAGGGAATATTATGCCTTCTATAAATGTTTCTATTCAACCACTGCCCTTCTGCAGAGCATAATGAAAAACCAGCTTTTATGGTCCTGGAGAGCCAGGCTTCATGGTGACTTTAATCCTAAACTGAGTGATTAGAAGGTATATTTTAGTGAGATCTTGCACAAAGTGACTCCCTCTCCTAGCCCTTCCACATTGACTTCAGGCTTTCAGCCCCTGACATGGCATAGGCAGGCTTCACGGAGTGTTTTTAACTGTGCTGTATGTCTGCTCATAGGATTGTCAGTCATGGTCAGGATTACCAATGGTCGTGTCTCTTCATCTGCATCCTTTGGCACAGCACAGTGTGTCGCTGTAGATCCGACTGAACAGTGAGGAAAGAAAGGAAAAGTTTAGATATTTTATTATGTCTTGGGCTCTTCATCCGTGCCACAGTAAAATTATCCGCTTTAGTATTATTTTATGACTTTTTTAAAAAAAAAATGAAAGCCTTGTTTCCAAGTAGAGGAATATATTGGATAAGTCACTTCTATTAACTCAATACAGGGATTTTGAAAAGATTTAGCACTTAAAAAAAATGTCAATATGAGAGTTGAAAAATGGTGGCTGTCATTTGCTAAAAAAGCTACAACTAAGGGTGATTCATGGAAGGTTCTGTTGGATGCACAGGAATCTAGCTAGCACTGTGTGCTCTCCCTCCACAGGGCGCCTCTGCCTTTCACACTGACTGCTTGCTTTCCCTTCTGGCACTTTTTGTTTGTCAGAGAACTGGCTTCCACCACCTGTTCTATTTCCTGTTTTCTTTCCATGCTTTATCTTACCCCAGACTCACAGTACAAAGCAGGTTTACAAGGAACTGGGATAGGAGAGGAGAGGGGCTTTCTAAAATAAACAGTAAGGAAGTTACTAAGGTCCACAGGAACTCAGTGGATAAACACTGCAGGACTTGCAAGTATGTGTGGAAGTAAATGTGGGCTTTAGGGAGTCCTGGTCTCAATCAGGACATTCAGAAAGAAAGGGACTTAGCAGAATGTTACTGCTTGCAGGAAAGCTGAGTGCGGCTGGTCCTAACATCCCAGAAGTAGTGTGGGGACCTGTGTCCTGAGTTCTGAGCGCTGGAGACAGATGACAGGTGTCCATTCCTGACCTCTTTCTGGGCAATGAGATTTAGACGTGTGGTGCACAGATCCCTGTCCCTGTTACTTCTTAGATTTTGGTGACCCAGCTTCCAGTCTGTTTGTTCAGAGTCCTGGGAGTGATCAGCAGGGCTACTTTTATTTATCTTTGAGATTTAACTGCAGAAAATTTCGTTCTTTATTCCACCAAGAGTGAGGGTGCTGGGAATGGCAGTGCATATTTGTAATCCCAGCACTCAGGAGGAGGTTTACACAAGGGTCATGAGTTCAGTGTGAACATGGGCTACATGTACAGTAAGACACCTGTCACAAACAAATAGAACCAGGCTGATAGTAGCTTAAGTTGGAACTTTGATTTCTCTGGCAATTTTCAGTTTAGGAAGGATTTTATTGGCAGGGGAATCAGCTTGGAATGAATGATTTAACAAATTAAAAAGTTATTTACTAGAGAATCATTTTAGCTCTGTGTCAGGCATTTGGAGGGAAAGCACTCCTATCTGTGGTTGAATTAATGTGCCACATCAGTGACTTTGCTCAGTGGTTTTACAGGGGTGAGCTTGTTTCAGTTCTCTAAAGTTCAGACTGGGGACTGCTGCTTTGCCTTTTGAGAGCGAAAGTTAGACTTGGGAAGTTTAAGTAACAAATAAATAAAGGAAATTATTTGAGTTAGGGTTGTACTGGCTAGGAGGGGGAGACAGCCCATGGCCTAGATGCCAGGCTGAAGATCTGAGCTTATTTTGTTGGGAAAAAAGACCCATTGGAGTTCTTGGGTCCCTAAAATTCTCTAACAGCTTGTGGAATGGGAGACATGAAAAGCGCAAGAGGCCAGGTGAACCCCGGGGGGCGATCTGACCCCAGAGGTAGCCGTAGGGAACAAAATATGTTTTGTTTTGTTGTTTGTTTTTTATTTATTTATTTATTTTGGTTTTTCAAGACAGGGTTTCTCTGTAGCTTTGGAGCTCTTGTAGACCAGCCTGGCCTTGAGTTTACAGAGATCCACCTGCCTCTGCCTCCTGAGTGCTGGGATTAAAGGTGTGCCTGGCGTTTGTGTTTGTTTCTAAGCCTCCTCTTAGTCTCCTCTTTGAATTTGCTTTTAAACATCTCAACTTTTAGATATTTTCTTGTACAGTGCTATCAATTCTGGTGCCACTTTCAATTTCAGTGCCAAAATATAAATAAAATAGGACAAGACAAATAAAAAGGTTAAATCCTGAGAATCTGATAGTTTTGTAAGAGCTGGCTGGAGATTTAATCTATTAGAATTCTCTGTGGTGCTGAGACTTACATTTGCACTAATTTTGGTGTCTGCTTAGCTGTGATGTCATAAAGCATGCTTTATTTTGTTGAAGTCAAAAGTAGCAGTTAATTTTAAAAAGTAGTACAGTATGAATTTTTGTGATGTTAAATGTGAATTGAGACTATATCTGTGAAATACATTTATTAATGTGTTATGTTGTATAAAGGGAAAAAGGAGGAAATTCTGTATTATTTCTGGTATCAGTCAGTTGAAATTCTATAAATACCATCTTATCACGTAAGAACTAGGGAGCTAATGATTTGTAAATGTATCCTCATAATCAATGGTTATTTTCTTCTTCTCGCAGATTTCTGCTCAGGGCAGATCATCTTCCAATGTGAACGGTGGACCTGAACTTGAACGCTGCATGAGCCCTGAAGGTGCTTCTCAATCTGATCATTATCTTTATAAAGGAAATCATCTGTCTGAACTTGGTGGTAATCATAATCCCACCTGTGCCACATTCTTCCTAAATCGGGACATGATGTGTCCACCTGATAGCCCAGTTAGTTTTAGGTGTTGAGGGTGGAGTCACCTGAGGGTGTGTAGTGTCTCTTTGCTATAAACCACATTATCCCTGTTTCAGATCTGAGACCTGGGATTACTGTCTTGTGCTCTCAATTCCTAGGTATTTCTCCATTCTCTCAGTTAGATGAACACAAGTATGTTCTGCTTTGCCTGGAAGTGGTCTGATCTTAACTCACAGCCTAGCACACTTTTTCTGAGAAGGCTTTGAGCCAGGAATTGGCCTCAACACAGTGTCGTACTTTGATAGGACTTCCTTTGCTAGAACTAAACTCTCTCAAGAGTACTCCTCAGGTAGAATCCAGCCTTCTCTTGCCCAAGAGAGGATTTGTGAAGAGGTTAGGTTAGATTTCCCTAGCTGGCATTTCAGGGTTTGTTAGGCTGCTTATTCATTGTAACCAACAAGGTCAAAAGGAAACTGGTGATTCAGGCATTCTATTTAGGAAACATGCTGATGAATTTTCTTTAGTTTCGCTATAGACCTATAAATAATTGCCTTGCATTATTTCCCAAGTACGTAGGAATCGATATGAAAGAAATTTCCGTCTGACTCTGTGTCTATCCTTGGTTGCAGGTGTGAATGGGAACAGGTGCTCTGAGTCCTTCACCCTTCTGGAGAAATACAGAATCGGGAAGGTCATTGGTGATGGCAACTTTGCAGTAGTTAAAGAGTGCATGGACAGGTGAGTGGCTGAATTTGTTCCCCCAGAGATACAGTTTTCCCTCTGGAGTTTATTCTTAAATTACTGAATTGTTTTAGTTAGGGTTTCTATTGATGTGAAGAGACACCATGACCACGGAAACTCTTATAAGGGAAGCATTTAAGTGAGGGGCCTCACAGTTTCAGAGGTTCAGTCCTTTATCATCAAGGTGGAGAACATGACAACATGCAGGCAGATGTGGTGCTGCAGCTGAGAGTCCTACATCTTGATTCAGAGGCAACAGGAAGACAACTGACTCACCGGGCAGTGTCCTGAGCATAAGACACCTCAAAGCCCCACCCCCCAGTGACCCACTTTCTCCAACAAGTCCATACCCACTCCGACAAAGCCGCACCTTCTAATAGTGTTACTCCCTATGAGTTTATAGGGAGTAACATTCAAACTAACACATGAATGAAAGGCCTTTCTGGGAAATGTCTCTTTTTCCTTTCCTAAAATAATCTGCCCTTGGGACTAGTCCCAAGCAGTTTATTTGCAGTTATATACATAAATTGTTTTGTATGCATGTGGTCTAAAGGACGTTCAGAACATTCAGAACTCACCCACCGCCTAGAGAAAAGTGAGGAGGAAAATGAGCCACTGGAAGAAGAAAACCTTCTGTAAGGCCCACATCGGGCTCTGCCCCATGCACTGTGTTACTTCATTGGACCTCCACAGCAGTGCTGAACTAGACCCATAGCTCTGGATAAACAAGCCACGACTGAGAGATCAGAAGGGACCAATTCTGCTTGTTCTTAGCCTTCTAAAACAATATGAAAGTCATGGTGGATGCACAATAAAGACTTTGTGTCTATAGAACACTATCCTACCTGCTTTGAATAGCTGAGTTTTATAGTTATGGCAGGTTTTCTAGAAGGTCCTGATAATTGCAGTTAGTCCATCCTATCGGATCTTCAATGATGGTTTACTTTCCCTTATATATTGCTATGTAAGAAAACCCCTGTTCTTGAAGCCTTTTACAGAGCTCTGGTGCACAGATTGCTCCCCAAAAAAACAATGAGGCATTTAAATGTACTTCCAAGGACCTGTTAGAAATGTGGTTTATAACATGAGGGGAGGAATTTTTTTTTTAAAGATTTATTTATTTCTTATGTATACAGTGTTCTGCCTGTCTGTATCCTCGCTGGCCAGAAGAGGGCACCAGATCTCATTACAGATGGCTGTGAGCCACCATGTGGTTGCTGGGAATTGAACTCAGGTCCTCTGGAAGAGCAGTCAGTGCTCTTAACCTCTGAGCCATCTCTCCAGCCCAAGGGGAGGAATTTTTTTTACTTCTTTTCCAGGCTGGGCCTCATCCCTGTGGACTTTGGCAGAAAGATCTGCAGATGAGAAAGCGCATATCTTCTGAATACTTTCTAAGAATACTGTGATGGCCTCTGTTAAACTGTTTATATTTGAGTAATTTTTTGGCCTGTTTAAATTTAAGTATGCTAATATCGAGTAACAAATAGTATTGGATTAAGATTTAAGATTTTTGTGTCAAGTAAATGATTTCTTCAGTGCCAGGTGGGGTCTCATAGGGTGGGAATAATCTACCGCCAGATCTTGCTGAAGGTGTTGAGTAAAAGTAAGGACTAAAAGGACTGCAGTTTTCAACTATAGAGTCAGGTTGTTGAGTATTTTCTCCCGTTAATCTGATCTACTTTTATTTATTCTTCTTAGAGACCTGTCTTGAGATTTATACTTCAGTATGAGTTAATAATGTAAAAGATTTAATCAGCCTGGCTTTGTTTTTTTCTTTTCTTTTTTTGGGACTTCCTTCCTCCTCTGACCCCTCTCCATACTGTGTGTCTACGGGTCAGAAGTGTCGGTGCTGGAGAGGAAGTTGGGAAGGAAAGTTTATTCTGATTTACAGTGTTAATGGTCCTCACTCTGATCATTCCTAGGTCCACTGGAAAAGAGTTTGCTTTAAAGATCATAGACAAGGCCAAATGCTGTGGAAAGGTATAGTATGTGCAACTGCTACGTAGAAAGAATGTGGGGGTTCACGGAGAGGGGGGTGTTTACGTGGGGACCTGAGGCCTTTGTGGAGGGAGATTTCCTGTCAGTGACAGCAATGGAAGTAATAGTGTTCACCCTGCTGTTCCCAGCAACTTTAACTCTAAGACGGTAAGTTTATTGATCTTGGTTATACCTATAAAAACATAAAATGCTCTTTTCTGGGAAATTCCTCATCTCAAATCCAGCAACATTTAAAAGGCTAGAACTGAGGGTCATTAAATGTTACCTACTTTCATGCTAAGAGTTGGCCTTCCAGCTTCAGGAAGCTGGCAGAAAACAAGGTTCCCACAGCAGAGACAAAAGGCTCCCAGGTGCTACCCAGGGCCCAGTCGGATGCTATGTTCATGGGCTTGTATTAGGCTGGAGGAGCCCCAAGCTTGAACACCTCTAGTCTTATGAGGCAGCTGGTATTGGCTAGAGGAAAACCTTGGTTTCCTTATCAGGGCCAGGAATGGTCTGGCCTTGTCCCTTGTGCCTGAAGTGACTCCTTCAGGCACAAGTGCCCATTTCTCTCTGTCCTGCTCTGAGACTGCGGTAGGAAGGATTGACTGATGACGGTAAATAGGCAGACGCTGCCAACCTGTGGTGTTCCTCTGTGGTAGCAGGTCTCTTACAGGAAAAGACTGTGGCGCTGTAGTCTAACACCAGGTGGAGCTGCTGACTGATACAAGTCTTAAATAAGCTGTGGGCTCAAGTACACAATGGATTTTGAAGACTTGGTGCTTTAAAAAATATATATATATATATATATATATATATATATATATATATAAAGAAGTACCTCAATAATGTTTTTTCTGTGTTACTACATGGTAGACTATTTTAAATATAATGGACTGTTATACTTTTAAGTTAATATTTCCTGTTTGTCATATTTCTTAGTGTGGCCATCAGACACTTTAGAATTATGTTTTCGAATTGTGATCCTGTTGTAAAGTTACTCTAGGGCCAGAGTATACAAAGTCAATCCTGGTTTTACTTCCTGCAGTGTGACCCTTGACAAATGTTTAAGTCATCTGTGTCTCTGTTTGTTCTTCCTCTGAATATGTTGACTGATAGTGTGTACGACACAAGGCAGTGGTTGGTGGGGTCGTGGAATGGAAAACACGTACAGGGCGCCAGTGTGTGTAGAAAGAACTGACATGTGTTACTGTCAACATTGTTAGCATGCCAGAAGACTTTGGAATTTATAATTGGAGGGTGTTGTGGTAGTACTGACTTTACATTGTGAAATTGCTAAAACAAAGCCAAAATAAAAAAAACAAAACTCCTAGATTTAGTGGGCATTTATGAAACTATGTAATATCAACCGAAAATTTAAAATAGGGTTAAGGAAGTTTTAGAAAAATCTTCTACCTAGTAGACAAACTTTTCATTTATTATTTTCTCTTGTCATTGCCAACAAAGCAAAGGTGTAAGATGGCCCTTTTCTGCATGTTTACTTCTGTCTGATCTTACGTGCTTTTGCATATTCTTTAAACACTTTAATGTTCATTTTTCTTAATCTGTGTGTGTATGTGTATATGTTGTGTTATGTGTTTTGTAAAGTGTGTTTATGTACATGTATGTGTGTGTATGTGTGCATATTCCAAGGATAGCTTGCCTAAGTCAGTCTTCTTCCATTATTTGGGTCTCAGGAAACAAACTCAGGTCTTGAGTTGGGCAGCAAGCACTTTTACCTGCTGAGCCATCTCTTGCTGGCCCTCTTTGTTTACAATTCTAATGGTTTTATTAATTCTCAAATGTAGCTATCTCTATATGTGGCTGTTAGTCTTTCCATTTTTGAGGCAGTTAAGCATAGTGTGTCATGATATAGCCCCTGTTCTATAAGACTATTACATTTTCTTTAAAAATATTAAGGATAATGGTTAAGATGTAAGCAGCTATTTTTCATTGTTAAAGATAATTGCATGCAAGAATTTAATCTGATACAGTGACTGCCTAGACACATGAGAATAGGCCACGTCTCATTACTGAATATGGATCTGTTTTTGCAGCTCATGATCTTATGCTTCTCTGAAATTTTTACATTTTGCATATTTGACCAATAAATTCCATATCAACATTGTATAAAATTATAATTAAAAAACTTCATGCTGCACATAAGTTGATTTTTTTCCACTGTGAAATTATGTTTTTATTAAAATTAGCATAATTTGTTTACAAAATTTTAGGGGATCATCTAGCCACTATTATGGGGAACATTGGTCTCCTCTGCTTTGTGAGTTTTAGGCAGAAAACTCGTGTGTTGAAAATAATCACCATTTTGGGAATATAGGGACTTTTCATAGTTATGACTCAAAACACACCAGCTGGGCAGAGGAGGAAGCAGAGATTTGGGTTAAATAGTTTCCTGCAGATCAACAGAGGCAAAGTCCTGACTTGAATTTGGGGGCAGCCTGTACTTCGGCCAATCTGCCGTGCACCTCTGTGTCTCAATTGGGGAAATACCTCATTCATTCTTGTCTTCTGTTTCTTCTTCTAATATACAGGAACATCATTAGATTAAATTATTCACTCACTTGAATCTTGGTGTGTGTCCTCTGTGTAAGACACAATGCTGGGAGTAGGTACCTCACCGCAAGAACTAAGAACAATGCTTCTGAGTAGGATGTGAGCGCCAGGAAAGCTTACAGAAGAGGAATTGACATTCAGTGAGGATGCCACGGGTGGGATGCATTTGAGGAGAAAGGAGAGATGGCTCAATGGGTTAAAGTGTCTCCCATGCAGCCAGAGGTCCTAAGTTCAATGCCCTGAAGCTGTGGAAAGGCAGGTCATGTAGCTCATGCATCTGCAATCCCATTGAGCAGAGACAAGAGAATCTCTGGAACTTCATGGGCCAGCTAGCCTGGCATACAGAGCAGAGACCTTTCTCAAACAAGGTGAAGGTGATGATGGCCTGAAGTTGTCCTCTGACCCCTATGATTGCTCTGGCCTCTACACACCTTCTGCATCCACACATACATGCCCATCATATCGATATACAGAAGAAACATTTGTGCTGGTCTTGGACTTGTGGCACGTTTTCAGCAGGCCGTGATGAAAGGAAAACCTGCCAGGTGGTCAGAAGGGACTGAACGAAGGCCCAGAGGCTCAGAGTGCACTGGGTTCCCATAAGCAGATCTTTGAAGCCCTGCCTTGTGACTCGATTGACAAACATGGAAGGCTTTGGTATCGTGTTAGGATTCATCCTCTTCTGTCCTAAGATCCCCTCATCCTAAATGAGCATTGACTGAATCTCCACAGTAAAGAAGCCCTGAATTGTTCTCTCCTTACCTTATAGATGCTTTGCATTCATTATCTGCATATTATGAACCCAGATAGGACATAAACCCAAGAGTATATTATGCTAGTTTTGAGCTGTTGGAGTAAATCAACAGAAATTATCCTCTCATGGTTCTGGCGGCTAGAAATCGGGAATCTGCACTTTCTCTGGGGCTCCTGGGGAGAATGCTTCTGGCCTCTGAGCATGTTGTGGTGACTGACAGTCTTGGGCTTTTACTGCTGCTCCTACATCTGTGTGAATTCTCCTTCCTCTTTCTTAGAAGGCTGCTGTGACTCATCTGGGTTAATCCAGGGCTGTCTTTACATTTCTGAATGCCTTTTCCAGATATGGTAATATTTATAAAACCTGGGGATTAGGACTTGATGCATTTGAGTGACTACTGTTTTAATTCCACTACAAACTCAAATACCGGAAACCACACACAGTGATTTGAACACACTGTCTTCTTGGTATTATCCTTGGTGTATTATCCTCATCAGTCTAGCTGTGAGTTGTGAAGGCACTGGTGGGTGATGTTTGGGGTGCCTTTCTAACTATGCTGTTTGCTGGAAAGTGAGGTGCACACCTCTAGGATGTTTAAGTTTAGGTACTCCAGACCAGCCCACAAACAGAAGACGGTAGCAGGAGAGCTATGGTTGTTGGAAGTGTGGGGGGAGGGTGGTGGCAGCCCAGGAACGTGTCACTTAGCTCAAGGGTAGGGGGAGGCTCCTCACCAGCAGATGAGTATTGTCAGCCTGGTTCACATGGTACTTGTGTTCTATGCAGAGAGGATTAGAAAAAACATATTGTGGAGAACAGAGTCAAATCTGCTGTGAATTGCACAGGGCACTGGGGAGAGAAAATCGCATAGCTTTATATTAGTACTTTGTTTAGCTTTCCGTGGTAGGTTTAAAAGGATTCTTTCTTTATAGACAGGAATAGAAAGCCATGGAGAAACAGAGGAACAACTTCTACATCCCAGTAGAAATATCTATTCTGTGCTTAGATAGGACTGTTGTCAAGAACGGGCAATAAGTTAATATGGCTTATATAAGGATAACTTATATGGAGCATGTTCCAATACTCGCTCAGTGTTTGAACTTAACACTGCCAGTAGTAGCCTTCTAACGCGGCTGAGAGAGGTTCCACAGTGGACTGTTTGAGTGCCTTTTGTTGAAAATAATAGTCATTTGGGGAAGGGGTCTCAGTATGTGATAGTATATTTTAACTCCATACAAAGAGCTTCCTGACACTGCTGACATGGACTGCTGTACATTTATAAATTGGCGTCCTAAACCGCCCCTGAACATGAGTTTATAGACCCTCCTAACAGTGGAGGAAATGGGCAGGAGGAAATGGCAGGGTTGGGGATAGAAGGCAAGATTTATGTAGTTTTAAAACAAGCCTATGCGGGGCGGTGGTGGCGCACGCCTTTAATCCAGCACTTGGGAGGCATAGGCAGGCGGATCTTTGTGAGTTCGAGACCAGCCTGGTCTACAAGAGCTAGTTCCAGGACAGGCTCCAAAACCACAGAGAAACCCTTTCTCAAGAAACCAAAAACAAACAAACAAACAAACAAAAAACCTGGTGATAACTGCTCTTGTTTTTGCATGGTGTAGAGTGAGTCAAATTCCCACCATCACTTTTCCATCTGAAACCTCCACTTGAGGGTGTAGAAAAGGTGTGGAGGGTCTTCCGTATCTTCCTTGTGTGATCTCTGTGGCTGCTTTCCAGGGTTGGGGGTCTCAGTGTTTTTGCTGTTAATAGTAAGCTCTCCCCAGCTGCCCAGCCATGGCTTGTTAGGATTTGAGACTTAATACTTTTCCAAGGAGATTTGGAGTGTTGAGTTCTACACCACCCAAAAAGCCTTCCCAGTCCTCTTCCGTGAAAGGAAGTACAGAGGTTTTCTCCTCATATAAAGTTGGTGTGGCTCTTCATCTCCATTGAAGATCTGATGCTACTGTTTGTTTCTATCTTTTCAACACAATAATTTCTTCATTTTTCCAGCTGTCATTTTCACTTTGAAAAGTTCTAGCTTTAAAATTTCACTCAGGGGTTCCCTTTTAAAAGTGGTGATGCCCAGTACAAGAGATGTGGACTTGGAGGCATGAATACTAGGCTTGCATCCCCAACTCTAAGGACTGAAATAAAGATAAAATGTCAGAACGTTGCACAAGAGCTTTGCTCCGTGCCTGGCAACTAGCGAGTCGTTTTCTGGTTGATTTTTTGATTTGGCATTTGCTATCCTTTGCCGACACATATCCCGCCCGTGACTTCTTGGATAGGCATAGTACATTCAGTGCTCAAGAATATCAACTCAGCATGTGCAGGAGTTTGCAGTAGATTTTGTTCTCTGCGTGGCATTTGTTCATTTCTTATAATTTATTCCTCCAGCTATCGTCAGGAGGTATTTAAATTAGAGTAAAAACATAAACACATGTATGCACCAAAGATATAGGAAAACCAGAAATGGTGACTGAAACGAGGTATTAAAATGCCAAGTTAGAACACCAGATCTGGCTCTGAGAGCCATGGTAAAGGGCAAATCTAGCAACACAGCAACACACACGCCGGAACACACGCACTCCCCTACGTAGATGTGCATATGCCTGCATGTAGATGATAAGTGATGATCTGTCTTCTATAGAGAAGTCTTATTTCAGCATTTAGAATGCTGAAGAGAGCAGTCTGCAAATTTTATTGAGCATTTTCTAAATTCAAATGGATTTGTTATTGAAGTTTGTGAGGATCCACACGTGCAGCATGTAGAACAGAATGTTCACTGTGTAGCTTGCGGATAATTTCTTAATTCTGTAAGTGAGCATTTTACTACAGAGTAGTTCTTGTCGGCATCACTCAGCTGAGCAACACTGAGGTAGTGTTTTCATGGCAGAGCAGGTTACAGTTAAAATGAGCGGTGTGGCCCGGCGCCTTCCAGATTTCTGAAATACGAAGTGTAAGGAACACCCATCTGGTGAATGACTTCATACCCACTCATAGAAGAAGAAAGCTTATTTTTCATGAATTTTAGCATAAAATTAAAATTTATATGGGTCACAGCCAAACATTTTAACCTGAGAGCTTTTCTGCCAAATTTTCTAATATGCCTAGTCATTATTTTTGCATGGAATACTGAAATTAGAAAGTGGTTCTGGTCTTGCTGACTTTGAGAAGGCACAGTGCCGTGTGGACTCTGTCTTTAGCGTCATTGCTTAGAATGGAGTCATACACTGTATGCGTCAGTTTGGTAACAATGAGCCCTCTGGGCACACTCAGACGGCAGTTTCTTAAGGGTCTTAGTGGCAAAGAGATACCCATCCCTGGGGGACTAAGTAAGCAGGTTTGGTTGGCCTGTGTCAGGAGACATGCTACTGTTGGTGTCAGAAATGAAGACTATGGTCTAGTGCCCTTCAGGCTTCTGTTGTTTTTGATGTCTATCTCCATGTCCTTTGTTTGACAGGAACATCTGATTGAGAATGAAGTGTCAATACTGCGCCGAGTGAAACACCCCAACATCATCATGTTGGTCGAGGAGATGGAAACCACAACTGAGCTCTTTCTAGTGATGGAACTCGTCAAAGTAAGAAGGCGGACAGGTTTCATTGGCGTCAATCTCAGGGCTTGAACTAGTCAGAAAGTATCCTACAGCCGACACATCTGTTTCACGGGTGGCCCTTCCTTCACCTACTCTAGACTGCTGTGACCCCCTTCTTATCTCACTGGACTGGACTGTTGACATTTCTCTGCATCTCCGTTTCTGTCCTACAGGGTGGAGATCTCTTTGATGCAATTACTTCTTCAACCAAGTACACAGAGAGAGATGGCAGTGCCATGGTGTACAACCTGGCCAATGCCCTCAGGTACCTGCATGGCCTCAGCATTGTACACAGAGACATCAAGCCTGAGAACCTTCTGGTGAGTTCAGAATCTCTGCTGTTTCGTTTTCAACTCAGGCTTCTGCCCTTTTAAAATGATCTCCATGCTGTGAAAACCATCACACATGAAAAGTGACATTAGAGTGTAAACCAGTATCACAGTAATGAACAGAGCACTGGAGGGAAGCAAGAAAAATCAGCAAGTTCAAGCTGACTGGGGTGTTCTGAATGCACCCATAAAATCCTAATGGTTTTTTTTAGTATGTGCATTTTGTTTTCCAGACATTAGAAAGTACATTTTCATTTATTTTTGATTCATGTTATGGTAATGGAATATATGACATAATATGTAAAGAGAAAAGTTTTTGGATTTGTAAGTCCCGTAGACTGGAGGTCATAATCCTTCTCTCCCTAACATCTTGAACAGTGCCAAGCAGGTACACTGTAAATGTGTGGAGTAATACCTGGTGGTGACTCTCGGTTACTCAGCTAGCCAGAAGTTGAATAAAAATCATTGTAACTAACCTCAGGCACCACACAAATGATGGTTAAAAGGGATATGTTGCAATCACCCCAGGGACTTCCTTTTTTCATTTGAAAATTTAAAAATATTTATTTTTGCTAACCCAGACTGTCAGTTTCTCATTTGGTAATGCTAACCGCTCATATCTTGTTCATCTGGAAGACTAAGTAGCCCTCTCCCTTCCCCTCCCCTCCTTTCCCGTCCCCTCCCTTCCCGTCCCCTCCCTTGCCCTCTTTGAAGGAAACAGTTTATTTCCCATCATCTTTCCGTTTTGTTTAAGTTTCTGCAACAGAACAGCTATTGGTTGTTGTGAACAGCAGTGGTTGTTCCTCTCCACTCAGTAGCTAGGCAGTGGGAGATGCAAACAGTCCTCTGCGGGTACTTCTAGACAGGTGCAGAGGGTGCCTGTTGACCTGCAGAGCAGTCTGCCACCTTGGGCTGCACAGCAGTGAGGTCAGGAGTTGGCACAGCCCATTTGTCTTGGCGCTTCTCTTGGTCACAACCTCTCAGCCGCTGCCTTCCTTCCCTTTCCAGCTCTTCAGGACTTCAGTAAGGCATGCCCTTGCCCAGATGGCTCTTGAGAGATAGTACCACACGTGGAGAACTTCCTGTACTGTCACCTAGCACCATAGTAGTTCCACGGAGTGGGCTCCTCTGTCGTGTGAGGCAGCAGCATCTCCATAGCGTGGGCATCTGTTACACAAAGCATGGCAGGCAGATGGGCATAAGATTGTAAGAGAGGCCAGCAATCAGTTCCGGATTATGACTCCTCCAGGCTGCCTGGATCTGGTTAGCAAAGGACCCAGGCACGATGTAGCTAACAGTAGAAGCGCTCTGGTAGCAGCAGGAAATGCCAGCACAGCCTGCCAGCTAGCTTTCCTGTGGGAGATGACTCTGATCTGCACAGGATTTTCCATGGCTGAACCGCCGGCAGAAGCTGTCCCTCTTTAGTTTAACATAACACCACCAGATTTCTTCTGTAGCCTTGCAGTGCTCCTGGAAATCAGGATTGCTGTCACTGACATACACTCCCACTGTAAAGAATTTAAGGACATTTTCCTCATCCATTTTCAGGACAGTTTTCCCTTTACAAGGAAAACTAGGAACAATGCTATATGGACCCCTCCCTGGTATCACAAAAAGGCAGAATTCTTTTCTTACTGGCTTCTGCCTTGAGGTATTTACATAGGTTTACCACCCACAAAACCCTGATCTGAAATTAGGAAGCATTAAAAAAAATGTACTTTGAAAGTTAGGCATGGTGGCACATGTCTGTAATATAGTGAGTTTGAGGCTAGCCTGGACTGCCAAGTGAGATTCTCTCTCAAAAACAAAGGAGACTTTCTGTGTGCCAGCATGTCACCAAGCGGAAAATTCCATACCATGAGATGTCATTTCATACACAAAATAATGTAAAATACTGCATGAATTTATTATCTTCCAGCTATGTTTTTAAAGTATATGTAAAACATAAGTGAGTTTTGTGGTTGGTGTTGGAGCCCATCCCCTAAATCCTCAGTAGGTTATACTTTAGGATCTGAGACATTGCTTCTGAGCTTTAGTGTTTAAGAGATTGTGACGTGCAATGTTTTCAAGGCTGATCCTGACCTCTGAATTCTGGCATTGAGATCACCCTGTCTTAGCTTCCTGAGAGTACCTCCATCCTTGGTCCCAGACATTTGTGTGTGTCCAGGGTTCTAAGGATTTAACCCGAGGCCTGGCTTATGCTGGCCCTCTATCACAGAGCTATACCGCAGCCAGTCTCAAAATTCAAATACTGTCTCAAGGTATTCAGTGTGTGGATAATGTGTAGTAACACTGATGTTTCCAACCTCTGTCTCAGAGATAATCAGGAAATCTGATTGGAGTTTTTCTTCTGCTCTAAATGTGTTTTTTTCTCCTAAATCTGCATTAGGGGCCTGGTGGTGCCCACTGGGGACGACAATGGTTAGAGCTAATGGTTGATGTAGCCAGGCTGTGGGGTCAGACTCCAGAAATGGTAACATACACATGTCCAAGCAGCATGTGTGCCAGCATGGAAGACCAAGTCACTTGGCATCGGCCCGAGGAGAAAGTGTCGTGGAAGCACTAAAAGTAAATGCCCCGCGTGTCTCTCGCTCTCTTCCTCTCTGAGAACTAATTCAGTTCTTAGGCAGCAGGGCATCTGACACCTGATTTGCATCCCGTTCTCTGGCAGCGCTGTCATAACTTAGAGCCCTGCCAGGGCAGATGTATGAGTCGTGTGTCAGGGAGCATGGAGGTGGCCGTTAGTGCTGTGAGTTACAGCCCAGGGGTGCCCTGCCATAGTTAACTGTGAGAGACTAGAGATAAATTCAGGGTTTCCAGGAGTTCTGGGAACGGGGGAGAAGAGGTGTGGTTTCTCATAGTTGATGTCCGTCTAAATCATTGCGCTGGCATTTTATTTAGCGAGCATAAGGGATTCACTTTGGATGCGGGACCTGTATTTCTCACATTTTTTAGCTTTGCACTCTGGCAGCCATTTGACAGAGCAGCTCTCAGTGTGAGCTGGGCCATTGAGCGTGGCAGGGCTGGGGTTTCACAGTTGTTTAAATTCATTCAAACTCTGCACATGAGGCTGCCTGGGTTTTGGCATTGCTTACATACAGAACCCATTGCATGGTGGTTTAGTGTGAAGATGAGCGGTCCTGGCTGCAAAGCCTGCTTGGTAGCTTAAGCTGAGTTCCACCTGCCTCAGTTTCCTTGTCTGAAAAATGCAGGTAGCAGTTCTTTTTTCTGTTTGGCCAGTGTGGTCCCCATTCCAAGTCTAATGGTGTGCTTGAGAGAATATTTAAATCTGCGAAGTTCCCGAGGCTATCAGTAACTGCCAGGAAGCTTTGGGATCTGGTATTCTTCATTTGTCTCTTTGTGACAGTCATTTTCCCTCCCTCTCTCCTTCCCTTCCAGGCCATGTGCAGGCTAGGCAAGCTCTCCACCTCTGAGCTCTGCCCCAGCTCTACAGTCAAATTCATAAAGCAGTGTCTCTCTGCCATATAGATACACAGTGCTGTTTAATTTTCCTTATAGACTTGAAGAGAATCTCCTGCTAAGATTGAAAGGTTATTAATATTTTATGTATTTTCTTCTGCATTGGGAGGAGATGATTCAGATAAATCACTGTTATTTCCCACTTCTCTGTCCAAATCATACTTTCTTTTCATGTTTAACCATGAGTACCACTTGTCCAGACAGCTCGGCAGATAGAGGCTACTCACTCCTTTTCTGTCTGTATGTGTCTGACTCTGAGTTCTGTGGGGGATGTGGAAATGTGGCTTCTGGGACTGTCTGACAACAACCTCCCAGCACCCCTAGGCGTTTCTAAATGGAGTATTTAAAATAAACACAGTTTTATAAAAACAGCACCTAATGAGTTGTAAAAACAAAATAACAGTGACATTAGTGAAACTTTGACTCATGATATAGACATTTAGGAAATCATGCTTATAAGTATTCTTATCACTACAGTTTCTTAGGGAATTTTGTTCTAATGTTTGGGTTTCAGTAAATGCACCATAAATCCTAACTCCAATTATATTAGATTGTTCTCACTAATGTTTATATTAAACACTCTGGGTGGAAAGCTGTCCTGTGTGGTGTGACTAAGAATCTTGACTCTGTGGCTTCAAGCTAGATCATTTATATATTATAGTATGTTTCTGTTGTGTTGTGGGGTTCACACAGAGGGATAAATACTTCAGAGGGGCTCAAAATCATCACGGTTACTCCTTTGACTCTCTAAAATCATGAAGCTGTGCATGAGTAGTGTGCCAACACAAAATATACCTCCATAGCATGGGAGAAACTGTTTGTCCCAAAGGAAGAAATGCTCTGTAGCAGAGGAAGCCAAGCAGGAAAGGGAGGTGGGCCATCAGGGGCCTTCAGAATGCCTGTAAGGCTTACACAACATGTCTGTTGATAACTACCTAAGCCAGTCCACTCAGTGGATGCTTCTGTTAACTGCTATGTTGAGGAAACAGCATTTTCTAAATATCTCCCCTTCCAGAGTTTATCGTGGTTGAAATGAAAGTCCAGTTCAGTAGTAAAACACGAGGAAAAACACATAGTCTAAAATATATAAGAATGAGACTTATATATTGATTTGGTCTGTGCAGTTATTTTTTGTTGAAATTTGGATCTTTCAAATGGACATATAAGAGACAGCATATACTGGCCTGTTTTGGATTATACAGCCAATCCCAAGTTAACTATGTATATGCCCACTGACTTCCGAAACTGGCTACTTGTAATATTTCTAGGCTTTTATATCTTAAGGAAGGTTTGCTTGACTATAAGGTAAATCTTTCTCAGTTATGTGGCCATTGTAAACACATGGATATGTCTACAAGTATAAGAAATATCAAGAAGTTAAAGTAATTCAGTACTGCTCAAAACGAGCCCTGTTAAGGCTGGGGCATTGGAGTTCATGTACAGTTCTAACTTTGTAAAACTGTATAATATGATCAATAACTCTCATGGTAAATACTTATTGAAAATAATATTAGCTACATGTCATTTTATTATGAGTATGTACCATAATTTATTTAACTACCAGTCAGTTAGCCGATTGGTTGACTCTGTGTTTAAAAATTATAAATGCAGACATTAAGAGATGTGTATAATGTTTGGGTCTTTCTGTTCCCTTTGAATAGATTTAGTTGTAGATTTATTGGGAAAAGTTCCTGTTTTTCTGTTCCTTTCGAATAGATTCTTAGTTGTAGGTTTATTGGGCAAAGTTCCTCTTTAGATTCATGCTGATTTCGATTCCAAAGTGCATTTTCATTTTAAGCTTCTGAGTTTTTTTCAAGTAATATTTATATTTTAGGTTCAGGGTTTGGCTACTGTTAGCATAACTAGACAACTGAGTTCAACCCTCACTACCAAACATGGGGCCAAAATAAAGCACATAATACTCCGATTTCACCAGCTTCCCAGAAGACAAGTCAGCAGCCTCTGAAGAAACATGCAAGCCTCTTAAATAAACGCCCCTTCTTTGTCCACTCCAGGATTTTAAGAACGACATTAAGCACTAAATGCAGGTCAGTTCCTTTCCTGCTGGCTTTGGGGCCTTGTCTTGCCACACCAGCAGCCCTTAGTACCTGGCTGCTTCTGTAAGCAAGTGCAGGGTTTGTCAGAATCTGCAAAGACAGAAAATAGCATTGTCCAATTTCACACAGTTGAATAAAAATCTCTGAGGAGATATCTCGACCCTTTAAATCTATGGTACTCTTACCAGAAGAACTTTCTTCAGGTGTTACCTGCCTCGATCCTCTCACAGTTGTTGTCGGGGGGAAAGTGATTGTTGGCTTGTTTTTGTTTCAGGTGTGTGAATATCCGGATGGGACCAAGTCTTTGAAACTGGGAGACTTTGGACTGGCAACAGTGGTTGAAGGCCCTTTGTACACAGTCTGTGGCACACCAACTTACGTGGCCCCAGAAATCATTGCTGAAACAGGGTGAGGGTCTGTTGGTCTTGGATCACACTTTGACATCAGAGAGAAGGCACATAAGTTGTCCTTGCTGCTTTGTGCTCGGTGTCCTGTGAAGAAAGCCTGGGAAGCAGAGAGACGTGTGACATAAACCATGACCTTAATGTTAAAGAATAGCTTGTTCTTATCTGGCCAAGAGCCCTAGGCCTGTACTTCTGTCCTTTGGTCAGTGTCGGGGGTGAGGGACAGTGGTCACTGATTGTGGTTAGATTGAGAGGAAACAGATGGCTTTTTCAGAGGACAGCTCCTACGTGACAGTAACAGACACCGTACCTCAAGCAGTGTGGCACGTGCTCAGAAGATCTGCCATTACGTACTCTCCCTCACTGTTTTCCAGTTATGGCCTGAAGGTGGATGTTTGGGCAGCTGGCGTGATTACATACATACTTCTCTGTGGATTCCCACCATTCCGGAGGTAATTATATTTGAATTATAAATTCTCAGACACTTAACTCCTGGCAGAAAGGACTGTAAGCTTGTGAATAAAATTCACAAATAAAATTCACAGCTGAAAACGATATAAATACACCTTTTGCTGTTTATCTTAATTTGTAGCCTGCTAATGCAAACTCATGTTTTTTCTTTGATGTTTTGGTATGTGTGTGTGTATTTATATATGTGTGTGTATTTTTATATATGTAAATTGTGCTTGAACACAGGGATCATGCCTGCATACTCTGCCTCTGAGTTGTTCCTAGCCTGACCATACTTCAGATATGAGGTCTTTGCTTTGCGTGTGAACCTCTGCTCTTCATGAAGTCTATACCTAACACAGACTCTAGACTTTGCAGCTTCTCATTATAAAGAAGGGGGCAATTAAAGATTTCTGAGTAGAAACCAGAATCACAGGTGTCCTTCTTTAAGTCCTTAATGTAGGTATTTTACTTAATTTGAGAGCAGTGTTTTAAACTACTTGATTTTTATATAAAATTTCTAAAGCACTCAATTTGCTTCTTGTGAAACCAGAAACTCTTTATGGTAGTTCTAGTTACACACGTAGAATTTATTACCTGAGAAATAGAGTTACAGAAAACCTCTGCATCAGCTGGCCTGGAAACAAACAGCTGACCTGGTGGGACAGAGGTGAACGCAAGCATGCTTCAAGCTGGCTTGCCCCAGTCCGTCCAGGACTGAGTCAGCCACATTGGCTGCAGCTCTTTCGGTCTGTTTCAGCACTTGCTTGGGCAGGTTCGGGCTTTGAAGCAGAGCTACATCTGCTAGTGCAGGGTTACTTTTCTGCCCTTCATTTGTGCCCCCCCCCCCCACTCCGTCTGGTGAGTAGCTACCTCTGGTGAGCCAGGAAATGCACAGGCATCGTCTGTGATGCTGCTGCGGTTTAGTTCATTTCTGCTGCTGTAAGGAACTTCCGCAAACTATGTGGTTTACTGACAGTGGAAGCTTTTTCTCACAGTGCTGGAGGCCGGGAGGTTCAAGACCAAAGCACCAGTAGGCTTGGTGTCTGGTAAGGACCTACCTCCTGATCCATGTGCAGACATCTTTGTGCAAATTCACACAGCAGAAGGGAAAAGGTGACCTCTAGGAACTTCTTACTGTCTTACCTTTTTTGTAAATGATGTTGTGGTTTGAGTTCAAGGCTTCATGCTAGGCAAGCACTCTACCACTGAACAATATCCTCTCTAGGGACCTTCACAGGAACACTACAGTTGTTTTCATGAAGGCTTCTGCCCTCACTACTCTTCCTGTGTCCCCAAAGCCCACGTCCTAATGCCGTCCAGGTGAGGATTAGGGTTCCCCATTAGGAGTTTTGAGGCATACGCCATAGAGTTTAAGTGTTGTATTGGATCAGCAAATGAAAATAGTTTATCCTATCTCTCCTAACATTTGTCAAGAAAACTTCCTGGAAAAAGAAAGTTTAGATTTTTTTTTCTTTAAATTCTCACATCTTCAGTTTGAGTTCAACAGTGGTTTAATTGATAATTGCTGTGAGCAGACCACACAGAAATGTTAGTCTACTCTTGAAGAGCTGGTATAAGAGACATGGAGCACAGAATAATGACCAAACCAAATGATTGGGTGTCCGTGGCTGATTCAGTGCTGGCTACGCATAGAATGCATGGGAAGAAATTAACTAAAGGACCGTTATGTAAGGCAGAAATGAGGGGAGCTAGGCAAATGTAGAAGGATGGTGTGTTTTTGTTAACATGTGATGTCTGGACCAGTTAACATGGAGTTCCTCTTCATGATTCTTTTATTCAAGTTGATATCAAAGAAACGGGATTTGAGGGAATCAGAATTAGGGAGCGTATGCTCACAACTCCCTCTAGTGTTTATAGTTTCTGATGCAGCCAGGGAGAGTTGTATTTTTATTGTTGTGGAAGTGGGTTCAAGTTGGATGTCACTGTCACTGGTGGGCAGCAGCAGCTTTGTGAGCCGGAGAGGTGAGTTGGGCTCATTAGGACAGCCCACTGCGTTCTGAAGGGGCCGTCTAGTGTCCAACCTCCCCCCAGGTATCTCACTTTTATGTTTCAAGAAAATGTTTTTCCTCTCCGCTAGTGAGAGATCTGTGACATCAGACACTTCTAGAAGCATCTTCAAAGCACAGCCGTAAGGCAGATTTCACAACCTACTGTTAGATTAAAAAAATATGGAAAATTAAGTACGTAGTGGCTTAAGTGATTATTGTCTAGCATGGATGGCATAATCTTGTGTATCTAGGGCTGGGGAGGGAGCTCACTTGGTTGGTAGAGGGCTTTATAACACATGAAGCCCTTGGTGCAATCCCCAGCACCATATATATGCCTATAATCCCAGCACACAGGACATGGAATCAAGGAAGATCCTAAGTTCAAAGCCATCCTTGACTATGTAGCAAGTTTAAAGCCATGCTGGGCTACATGAGACACTGTCTCAAAAAAATAAAAATAAAGCAACAACTATATACATATATCTCTATATTAAAGTCCTTTAAATAATCACTTCAGAATGCTTTCTTTGTCTTATACAAGTGTGCCTTTAACTGAAAGCTTTTGAACTGAATTGTTACCTGGAATTCACTTTCAGTGTCTGTAATGGCAGCCCCCTTCTTCTTTCAAAGCCTTTGGGGTTTAGTTCCAGCTTGATTAGTTGTTGTTGTTGTTGTTGGTCTTAGTTCTTGAGCTTGATCATCCTGCCCCCCACCCCGAAATCAGCCTCATCTTCACAAAGACTGGTTTTCAGAGACATCCCAAAGGTTCCTGAGGAATAATATGCTATAGCTGCTGACTAAAGCATCTGTAAAGTTGTTCCCAGATTCTTGAACATTCCCTCTTAGTCTTCACCTCACCCCAGTTCTCTCTGTCATTCTTTCATATCGAGTGTTGCTTGTGAAATAACTTACCGACATTATCACGGTGTCCGTTTTGAACCTTTCGTCATCTGTCACTGAAAGAGGGACTGTCTTCTAAATCGACTGTTCTACACTCGCAGCCCCTTCATCTAAAGGATACAGTGTCTTAGAATAGAAAAGCAGCCCAAAGCAGCTTCACCAGACCTTGCGGTGCAAATGTAGTGATGAACCCCGTGTGGATTCGGACAGGGCAGCTGTTTGTACCTGACTACCACACATGACGGACTGTCTGCAGGGGCTGCTCCTCTACTGGGCGCATAGCTCTGGTGGTTGATAGCCTTGCTCCTCGGGCCACATTCTAACTGTTTAGCGCTCTACGGTCCTTTTTGCTGAGGTCGGCTGTATTGCTTGAGTCCTTGGATACTGTACATGGCTGTTGCAGATGGATTCCAGCTTTTAGCTCTGTATTGGCTAAATGATCAAGTCAACATAAGCTACCCGTGACTCCAGGAAAAACCAGGAGAGGTGACTAGAATAATAGGAACAGTTTTGAGAGTAGGTTTTTTTGTCTTCTTTTAATGCCGTCTGGTGTGCTCTATAACTGTAAAATCCCACTATGTTCCTCAGTGTGGTTTTCACTCATTTTATGGAGCACTGAACTGATGGCAGCAGGGCAAAGGAGACCGACCATTGTGTGTGTGCACTCACTTCCCCAGCGAGCAGTGATGACCTTTGGCCTTCAGTGTGAACCGGCAGGTGTCTCACAAGTGCTTCCCTTGACTATAAGAGGCAGTTGTGCCATGAGACAGACCTAGCTATTGTTCTAGGTACCACCCTAAGTGATCTGTTTCTAAGGACTCCATGCTTTGTGCCCTTCGAGAAGGTGGAAACCCAAACCCTAAAAGCATGGCAGAGAAATTCTAAGAAATTTGCACTTTTTCCAGGTGATTCCTGACTTGTCCTCCTGAATTTTAATTTTAATGTTAACAGCATATTCTAAGTTTTCTGTTGGGGCCTATGGTGAACCAAGAAAGCTAAGCATGCTTCCTGTTTCTAGTCCTGTCTTTACCACATGTGGGGACACCCCACATCCAAAATCCTTCCCTCCAGTGTGGTCACTGGCACCTTCCATCAACTGTTGAGTGCCAGCATTTATTAGACACCATGTGTTTGCGGAAAGGCCAAGCCTCACGGGTTAAAAGACCCCACTTGAGAGCATCCAGGGTGCTTTGCCTTGACTGAGAAAGCCTAACTAGCGTCTCTGAATATGTTCTTTCTGAGACCGAGCACAAAGAAAGTTGAATTGTGGTGGGGAACAAATTAAGGTCATTTTTAAAATCTAGATTCTGAATTCCATCTGATTTTCAATAATCTTGGTGTTTTATTGAATAAGTGGAAGAAGAAAGGTTTAGCGGAGGCTGCTTTTTTACTGTTAGAGGCATGAGCAATGACAAAACTGCCATCCTTTCCCAAGGGTTTCCATTATTTGTAATTTCTGGTTTTATTGTAATATATATGCATGTATGTCTGCATGTGTATAAAGATCTCATTTATATACATATATGTATATACATATATATCTATATCTTATGTGTATAGAGAAGATATACAGTGTATATGCACATGCGCACATGCGCGTGCGCACACACACACACACACACACACACACACACACTAGTTTTTCTTCCGGAGTTGGGCCCTGGCTATGTTACTTTGGTTGATTTTGAACCTCTGGGCTCAAGTGATAATATTGCTTCAGCTCTCCAAGTATCTGGTACTGCGGGGACATGCCCCAACACCTGGCTTTCATTTTAACCATTTATACGCACACTTTGTGGGGCATTGAGTACACAGCCATTTGCACCATCCGCTGCTGGAACTTTTCCGTCTTTTTAAACTGAAACTCGGCTTGGGTTCCCAGGCCTAGGAAGGGTCCTTTGGCTGGTTGTCTAGAAGGAAAAGTCTGCTGTCATCATGCAGCTATGATACACAGCTGAGCAATGAGACACCCAAGCCAAGTGCCTCGACTTCTTCCTGTTGCTCAGACTCTTAGTGACCCTATTCTTTTTTCTATTCCCTTCTCACTAGTGAGAACAACCTCCAGGAAGATCTCTTTGACCAGATCTTGGCTGGGAAACTCGAGTTTCCAGCCCCCTACTGGGACAACATTACAGATTCCGCCAAGGTACTGTAGAGGGCTCTTCCTGTGTACACTGCAGGGCCTGCATGTGGGGCTGAGCAGCCCCAGCTCGGGGCTCCAGAAACTTGACTTTTAATGTGTGGTCTTTTTGTAAGTTTGATCTACAGTATATATAGTCTCTGAAGTCCCTAACTAGATTACTCTTCTAATCTCTATAAACATTGCCTTTTTAAAAAGAACTGTATGTTGGGTACTCATCAGAGTGTGAGAATGAATTAATAAGTTAAGTGATGAAAGGGAAAATATTGCAATATTCTACTGTGGAGTGAAGATAAAGACCGGAAGTCTTAAGAGAGCCAATCTTAGTTCCTGCAGATTCAAGGGAGACTTCTCGTGTACTGTGCTGACATTGGCAGTAGGTCTGTGCCATGTCTCACATCACTCAGAGTGTGGGGAGCTGGCTCCGTGCTCCAGTGGCTGAGCTGCTTTGTTAGCTTTTGATTCTGTATTTATTCTGGAATTACCCTCTTTCTCCTCTGTGGTTTTCTTCCCCTTCCCTTTCCTCCCCTTTCTCTCCTTTCTAGGAATTAATTAGTCAAATGCTTCAGGTAAATGTTGAAGCTCGCTGCACTGCAGGAGAAATTCTGAGTCACCCCTGGGTGTCTGTAAGTACCCACATTCCAGGGAATGAATGAATTTGTGTTGTGTGGTCAGCATGCCTCCTTGCCATGTGTTTTGCACGGACATAGATGAGCATTTAACTTCTATAGCAGATGAAATGTTTATTTTAATGATTAGGCAGCTGGGAGAAGGTATCTGGTACCAGAGCCCCCATCTGTGTCTGTCTTTCTGTGGTCTGGAAGGAGAGACAGTCTCTTCCAGAGGTGGCAGAGAAGATGTGGTGCTCTTCACATGTCCCCTCAGGGCAAACATGGTGAACTTGAGGGCAACTCACTGTATACCTCCTCCATCCTGCAGACTGTTTCCCTGGGCTGAGTGACAGGTAGAGGAGATGCCACAACTATGTGAGAATTACGCTACCAGCTGAAGGACGTTTGTGTTGGGGATTGAGCTTGAGCCTTGAGCATGTAGCATGGTCTTAAGAAATGGGTCAAACATTAGGCTCAAGGCACATTCCCTCTTCAGCCTGCCATGTAACCGGAGCTACAGCAAGGCATTTAATTAAATTCTTGATTAAAATAATACACTGTTCATTTTTATATTTCCGTGGGACGACTTGTGTTAGATTTGCACTGGAAGAGGAATGCCATCGTTGACTGCTTCAGAGGTGGAGGAGATGGCGTAATATCTCTCTGAAGGCTTGAGGCGCATTGCCATGCAGAGTAACAGTACAGGATTTTGTGTGTCTCTGCCACACTGAGGATGGAGCTCTGTATAGGGGCAACAATTACTTTCAAAAGAACTGAACTCCTATTCTTACTAAGAGGAGCCTGTTCAGGAAGACAGCCTTAGGTTGATGGTGGGGGGAGGGTGGTAGCTGTTGAAGAACATTTGGAGTGTTAAGGATCCAGCGTCAACTGTATTTGGGTTTTTCCCCCTCTGTAGGATGACGCATCCCAGGAGAATAATATGCAAGCTGAGGTTACAGGTAAACTAAAACAGCACTTTAATAATGCGCTCCCCAAACAGAACAGCACCACCACGGGGGTCTCTGTTATCATGGTAAGTGGGACGCAGACCTCTGCCTGGGGAGTTGGGGGCATCTGGCCTGGCTGCTCAGGGGGAGTTGTCGTCTGAGCTAGGTAGTTGGGGTTCCGCTCATGGAAGCTGGTGTCTTCCATGTTCCTGTTTTCATGGGAGGATGGACTGGCATGTGAAGGGTGCTTTCGAGGACTCCTGGACTCTGCATGGCAGGGTAGAGGCTGGTAGGTGGCAGGGAAGCCACAGTGGTAGGTGGTGCAAGGGAGCTCCAGGACATGGGGCTTCCAGGGCGTTGCCTCCCTCTCATACCTGCTTTACATCTAGGGAGAAATCACCAGCCAGCCCTGGCAGGATGCACCCTGCAAGGCAGTAAGGCCCTGCCTCCTCCAGGCTTATGATTGTTTGACATGATTTCTTCAGGACTTGGGCTAAGAAAAAAAAAAACAGCCAAGCTAACAAATTTCACTTTTTAAAGACAATGTTTGGTTAAAAAAAAAAAATAGTTGGTGTATTTTTAAAGCCATAAAAGAATACTTTTTTAAAAAATTAATTTCTCATGGTTAAAATTTTATCTAAAAAAGTAACAATGACCCAATTTTTGTACTTCTTCCAGAATACTTAAGGCCACATATCTAAGTATTTAAGCACAGAAAATGAAAAGTAACATTAAGGGAAACCAAAAGAAAATATAGGACATAAAAATAAAACACAAGCGAGGTCATTAATTTCAGCTCTGGCTGCCCAGGCTTGAGCTGTTGAGAAGCGGGGCTGGAGTAGCTCTGAGCATCTCCCACCTGCTGCTCAGCCAGGGCATCTCCAGCAGCAACCATGCTGTCCTCCTGCCCGCTCACAGCAGACAGCAGGGCCAGGGGCATAGACATGGGAGTCACCCTCTCCCGAGGGGCTGGTGCCTGCAGTGGGCCTTCTAGAGCAGCCTCTTGCCACCCTGGAAAGGTTCTCTGTATTCCCACACTACAGGGAAAAGGGCTTGTTCTCACTGCCCCATGCAGTCTAGGAACGTCAGGAAAATGTGGGAGTCCAGGAAGGCACACATTGCATGTACCCCTTACAGACATGACCGGAAGGCACACCCTGCATGTACCCCTTACAGACATGACCGGAAGGCACACCCTGCATGTACCCCTTACAGACATGACCGGAAGGCACATACAACATGTACCCCTTACAGACATGACCGGAAGGCACACACTGCCTGTACCACTTACAGACATGACCGGAAGGCACACCCTGCATGTACCCCTTACAGACATGACCGGAAGGCACACACTGCCTGTACCCCTTACAGACATGACCGGAAGGCACATACAACATGTACCCCTTACAGACACGACCGGAAGGCACACCCTGCCTGTACCCCTTACAGACATGACCACTCTGCAGTTGGTTAAGCACCTCCTACATGCCGTTCCTTTCCTCCAGGGAGGCTAAGTTCATTTGGTAGGCCCCTTCCATTGTCCTTGCAACTTCCTATGCACCATGCTGGGAATTGTGTGCTCCGTCTTCCTGTGCAGAGCTCGAGTCTACAAATTGGACTTTGTGCCGTCTCGCAGGACGGAAAGAGTGGAGTTACGGTTTTTCTTTCCACTGTAGCAATGTTTTACTGAAAACCTGAGAAAGTCTGAGATGTCACAGAATTCTGGCGTCACTGAGTTGAAAAAAAACCATCACTGATGAGCTGGCAACAGGAGGACCCTTCCCAGGGATTGTATTTTGAGTCCTACCCCATGATTAGAATCAGTGTGCATCTGTGCCATGCATGGTGTTGTAGGCAGCTTCTGTGTAAATGGAAAAAGAAAACCATTCAGAGTCAGCATTTGTGCTAGGGGTGCAGTTAGTGGTGCCCAGTGTGTGTGATCTTAGCATGTGTGTAGGCCCCAACAATCTCCCAAAATATACAATTTCATGAAACGTATGGTAGAGAATCTTTAAGAGAATTTGTTGGAATCAAAATTTCATATCATATGTTAATTAGCTTTCTAATCTTCTAAGATTACAATCCTGTAGGAAAATTTATACAGTGGGTCACTCGAATCAATGGCCATAGGCCTGGGCCCTGCCTTCTGACCACTGAAGCTCAGTTGAGGTTCTAGAATGAGTGACAGTCCTCCCTAGGGCTAAGTGTAAGCTGTGTTCTGGATGATAATGCAGAGAATGTCTCAGCACTTGCAGATAGCAGTTTCCCTCTTGCTAATGGAGTTAGTCAGATGTCAAACCCTCAGGCTGTAATGGGGTGTCCTGTGAAAGAACAACCCTGGGAAGGTGACTGTATAACAGTTGTGTGTGATGTATGTGCAGGAGCTACCTGACGCATGCTGGCGACATCCAGCTAAACCAGGTTCTCTGCAGATTGTGAGCACCGAGGAGCTGCTGATGGTATCATTGCATTCAGAGTCTACTGGAGATATTGCTGGGATTTTTTTTTTTTTTCTGGCAGCCTCTGTTCTCAGTGGTTCAAAAGACAGCCTGCCAAATTTGACTTGTTCCCAAAAGTAGCTGAAGGCTTCTTGTTTGTCCTTCCCCCAGTCAGGGCTGGGCCTGGGCCTAGGTGTGGTTGCAGGGTAGGGCATGTGTGTCACATCTGGGACCTCTATCATAGAATGACTGTACTTTGAGGCATCCCTGAGGACAGTTAAATTATTTTTATATTTAAACTACCAGAGAATGCCTGTGTCTGGCATGAATTTGCCATCACTGAATATGCAGTCTCAGTAGCAGAAGAGTGGTGTTTTATGGCTGAATTGTTAATGACCTCTGTGCATAACTTAAAGAGGGGGGCCTTCTTGTCACCCCAGCATTCTCCCCAAAGTAGGTACCCGAAGTTTCAGTGAAAAATATGAGAAGGAAGGGACTGATCATAAAGGAGAAAGAAACCAAAGTTGATGTTTTGTCTACATTTCATTTGACAGTTTGATTTGACAGTCTGAGAGACACCTCACAGAGTTCCGTTCTTTCCCCAGTTGAGGCTGTGGGAATTCCCGAAGCAGATCCTGGTATTCAACACTGTGCTCGTGGGAGCCACACCTAATTCTCAGTCCCTCTTCCAGCTGCATGCTTGTCTCAGACTTTTGACCCTCAGCTTCCTGCTGGAATGGGTCCTCTGAACCACTGACTTCCTTCTGGCCAGCCCAGCCCAGCACGCTTTGGGGAGCTTTGTGTTAGCCTTCTCAGCTTGTCAGTCTGCTTTCCTGCTCAGAGTGGGGCTCAGACGTTCTGTGCCCTGCTGCTGTTTACACAGGTGAAGCAGGGATGAGTGTCTTCGTGAGGTTTCTGTGCTGTCGAGAGAGCTGCGTTTATCAGTAAGGCAGTGTGTGTCAGCCAGCCTGCAGGATAAGAACAAGATCGTACTGGAGAGAGACTCAGAGAGGCCGGTGGCGCTGACAGTCCTCAGCACACTGATGAAGGACAGTGGGAGGTGACTTCTTTGTCCAAGTGAGGGACAAAGTCTCAGAGAACAGAAGGGGCCATCTTGTGGCAGAGAAGGGAATGACAAGACACCTCCTACCATGGTCTCGCAGAGGGAGAGAAGTCAGAGTACACTCTTTCCACCCCAGGGGGCGCAAAGTTTGCTTTCAGGAACATTGGGGTGACGGTAGGGATTTGGGGTTACTCCCGATTTAAGGCAGACAAGACTGTTTGAATCGTGTTGCTTCTGTTGAAAGTAAGTCTAGTTTCTGTCCCTGCTTCTCTCCCTTCTTGCCTCTCCCGCTGCTGCATTGCTTCCCCTGCCTAGGTCCAAGGCCATGGTATGTACTCACTGCACCGCCAGCTTCCCTCTGCCCGCACGCTCATGTTCTCTCTGCCAGAAGAGAAGAGGGGAAATAGCTAGGGGTTGTGACTTTCTTCCAGCCAGGAGAAAGTGTGATAGAAGTTAAGCGCTGCCTGTCTGGTAGGTGCTGGTGGGGCGGAGTGGCCGGCCTTGTCCCAGCAGCTCAGGAGCTAAGTTCTAGGCCAGACTTTACCCACTTACCCAGTTAACTGACACAGTCCTGGGAAGGTAGTGATGGCTCAGCTTGAGGTTGGCAGGAGCCGTGAGGGACCCAGCCCAGAGCCTTGCCACTTGCTCTGTTCTCCATCCCCCTCCCACTTTTAAAAAAAATGTGTTGTTGTACATTTCCCTTCCTATGGGGACTGCAAAATGCCTACCTGTCCTTTCATCTTACAGACGAGGATGGTACCCAAGACCACCTGCAGTCTCTCCACCTTTAGTAAACACAGTAACATGGCAGTTGCTGGTTCCTAGGGCCCACAGTCTCTAGTGAGGCAAAGAAGACTGCATGCCTGGGTATCCCCAGGATGGTTCAGAAGGAGGTGTTTTCCTCATGGAGCCTCCCATCCCTTGAGAGGGTTAGTGGATGAGCCAGCAGGTGCAGGCCCCCTCATAGGGAGAGAGGCAGTCAAAGATACCATGGAGGATCCCCAGTGGATTCCTGGGCATATTACAGATGCCTGGTGGTTGTAAAGATATTTATTTCTGACATGTAAAGGCCATATATCTGACAAGAACTTCCTGTCATAAGTGTACTACAGCAGCTGGCAGACTCCTCGGTATGGGTGTGGGCAAGACAGAATCAGCTGCAGCTCACAGCCAGGACCCTTGAGGCCACCTCCTGCTGGCCAGTGTCCAGCTACCAGCAAGGTCGTGATAAGGGCAGAGGCAAAGGGCGGGTGGGGTAGGGGTGGGAGTGAGGCTCAGTTCCCATTAGACTTAAGGCCTGGTGTATTCCTCCTCTTCTGTTCTGTGTCCTGTGCATGCCGAGTCCTGCTTTCTGGTCCTGCCCGTGTTATGGAGCCCGGCCTGGGTCATGTGTTATCTCTGCTGCTCTCTCCCCAGAACACGGCTCTAGATAAAGAGGGGCAGATTTTCTGCAGCAAGCACTGTCAAGACAGCAGCAGACCCGCGAGGGAGCAGAGCTCGCCAGTCCCTTCCTCAGGCCAGGAGGCCCCTCCCCCACCGGAGTCTCCCAAACCCTCTAGTCCCCCAGCCACCTCTGGCTGTGATCTGGCAGGGACCTGGCGCCGTCACCGAGACTGAACTCTGTGTAGACAGGCCCACACTGCGCTCTTCCACCAGGCCTCACCGGCTCCTTTCGGAAAGAGCCTGTCTCTCCTGACTGCTGCTTTGACAGAGTGTTGGCATGTTCTGTCACTGCCCGGGAACAGGACTAGAGCATCGGGAGCCAGCATGGTCCCATTTACTTGGGGCTCTGCCCGCTCGAGTTCCTGGCCATGTCGAGCCATGTCAGTTGTGGAGACATATTTAAAATGAGCAACTTATTTTAAATCATCCATGTTTCTAGTTGAGTAGACAGTTGGCCGCTTTACCCAGCGAATGTGCAACTTTTATCTGGAATTACATTCTTTTTATAGAAATTCACTGGATGAACGAAGATTCTCCTATTGAAGGATTCTCCAAGCGCTCCCTTCTCATGGGGACACAGCTGTGGTTGTTTGTGTCCTGTGAGAGGCAACATGGCCTCTTCTTCTTCATAGGGGGCCTGAGGCTCCTGGCTTCTGAACAGAAGAAATGAGTACCTGAGAGGTACTCCTGACTTAGGGAATGCACTCTGATGCCCCAGAAAGCAGCTCCTCTCTGACTGGGGTGCAGGGCTCACAGACCTACATGTGAGCCTATGTGTACTAAGAAATACTCATGAAGGTGGCCTGTGGCTTTTCAGTGGGATGTGCAGCAGCTCTTGGCAGAGCAGGATCAGCTCGGCTGCATCATCGCTGGGGCTTCCTCTGCCTCTGAGAGCAAGAACAGCAGAATGCCAGGCAGGTCTGCTGAGACCCAGCGGGGACTGGGGTGCATGGTGCTCCTTGAATGTCCTGTGACCAACCCTCTGGAAGGCTGCTGGCAGTTTTTCCTTTTTTCCATCGCCCTACTCTTTTTAGTAATTGTATATAACTGTGTATTTGTTTTACCTGCTTGTCTTCTAAATGGGTGGGCCCTACAGTTCACTCTCGTTGTTATTCTCCAAGTCTCCCCAACCTGCAATAAATCCTTCCCTCTTCGGAAAGCCATGGGGTGGGCAGAGGTTTTGTGTGGTTGTTTCAGAAAGTGCATGGCACCTCTCCTTGGTCCAGGCCCTTAGGGGCCAGTGTCTGGGGCCGCTACCAGAAGAGTGCACAGATCTTTGCCTTGGCTGAAGTGTATGTGATCACAGGTGCTGGGACTCATGACCAAAACACCAAAATAAGCAAGTCGTTTATAGAGGAGCTAGGGACAATAATGGGAAAGCTGGGGCTCATAGAAAGTGGGCTGGAAGAGCTCTTCCCATCCCAGCCCTGGCTGGGACTCTGCTTTTCTCTGACTTGTAAGTTCCAGGTTTTCTTGTTAAGCTCTGCTTATGACTCTGCTCATCTGTCTGTCATCTCCTTGGAGCTTTACAAATGTCAGCTTGAAACCCCTGGCCAGGCTCTGCACCTCTCCATTCACACTGCTGAGGGAATGAGACAGTTGACCTGCTGACCTTGGGTCCCACCCAGCCCGGAGCTGTAGCAGACACAGGAGGAAGAAGTGATCAGAAGCACTGTGAGGTGCGGGGTTAGAACACTTCATGCGTCTCTCTACTAACTGGTTAAAAAGTGAGCTTTAAAAACAGATTTATTCTAGATTATGTGTATGCCTGTCTATGCGGATGCAAATGCATTATCCATGGGAGTCCAGAGGAAGGCAGCGAATCTGGACAGTTGTGAGCTGCCAAACATGGGTGCTGGGAATCAACATCTGGTCCTCTGGAAGAACAGTAAGTGCTTTTAACCTCTCCAGCACCAAAAACAAGATTTTTCATAGCCTGTGGCTGTGTCATTTTCAGAGGGGGAGGAGACGGGACAGGGGGTGGGACAGGGTGTCTGTGCTCACACCACAGCTGCCTCCCTCTCCTCAGCTGCGGTGCTCCTAATGCAAGCTAAAGACTGTGAGCCAAGGGCAGTGCTCACCGTGTCAGCATGTGTCCTTCTGACCGTCCTGTGGGAGGCAGACAGGTGGTGAACCCTCACAGTCTTTCCCTCCGGAACAGAGAGAACACAGGGTAAAGGAACAAGCCTCTAGGCGGTCCTGGCTAGCCAGAGGGGTGGATGCCTGCGGCTGTGCCCCACTGCGGGGTACTGTCCATCCAGGCGGTGAAGCTGGAGAATCCCGCACAAAGGTTTGAGACACGGTTCCTCTGTCCATTTGCTGTGCAAACACTTAGAAGCTGTGATTCTATTCTCAAGCTCCAAATTAAATACAGGTACTTTATTTGTGGCTGCTCAGATCCTGTTGGGAGAATGGTACGTGCCTGTTCAGACTCATTCTCCCCAAGGAGGGAATCGGTGTGAAGAGACTTAAACGTGGAATATGGCAGAGAATACAAGTGGACAGACACCGTGGGAAGTGGGTGCCTGATGTCCTCCACAGCGGAGGGGTCTCCCGCCCCTTTCTGTCTCTGCCTCCTTTTGCAAAAGGTGGTGGGCATAGAAGTGTGTTTATTCCATGTATTCATTAAATGCCTTTGGTAAAACTCCCAGAATCTCATCGTGGCTAAGACGGTAATATGTGACTTAGGAGATGGGACAGTGTGGGGTGGAGTAACCATATTGAAAAAAAAAAAAAGGACTGATTAATGTCTTGTGGAAAATGCTACAGCAGTTTACCATCCCGTGGAAATAAATATTTACCACTTGTGTTAACATTAAAACATTTAAAAGGAACAGGTAAAGTACATCTTGCGGCATAGCTTATTTACCCTAACATCTAAACATGTCCAAAGTATTATTTCAGCATGTAGTCAGCATCACTAAGAACTGGGTGATACTTCACCTTCTTGTGTGGTGTGAGTCTGAGGTCTAGAGTGTGTACAGTCACAGTCCATCCCAGTCTGAAGTCACATGGGCTTAGCAGTTGCCACCCTACAGTTCAGATACACCATGGCTCTTAATATTAGTTCTAGGTGAATCCATTTTTGTGGGCACATGATGTGCGTGGCAGGTAAAAGGGCCCTGTCATTTTAAGTGTTCATGGGAACAGGTTCATGGGAAGTGACGGCAGGAGGTTATAGCTCTGTGATGTGAAATTAAATGTGTACTCCTAACTCTGTGACTGTCCTAGGCATGGCACCGGCTGCTGCTTACCGAGTAATCTTCACCTGCCACCCCGGGAAAGTGTGCAGGGCTTGGGGACACTAGCTGGGAGGTCAGGGCACTTCTGCAGATGAGAGCATGTGAGGCTTCGAGGCTTTGGCACCCAAGGATTGCTAGGAAAATCAGACAAACCCTGAGGTGCTAGAACTCAAGGCACACGGCTTGGTGTCCTGCTGCTATAGGAACTGTTCTTTGCAGGCTTCAGACGTGTTTTTTCCCTGGATTTGAGTCTGAGGTTGATGCATAAGAACTACAAATGAGTCGGATTCCAGTGTGGAGATCAAGACCTGCTTCCTAAAGGGTTCAGACTCCTGGAAGTGCCTAGATGGCAGATCACAGTCACACAGGTACACGGTGCGCTGTGTTTTCAACCTTACTGGAGCACTGCATATCCAAGGGGAAGCAAAACATGGAGGCCCTCACCTTTGCCATGCGCTTAAACAGGAGCCCTTTCTTGGTGGTGGGACTGGGCCTTTGCCTCGCAGGCCTCCCGTGGGACAGCGGTCAGTTGGGATGTCTTCATCTGCATGGACTGATCTGGGAAGCTTGATTGGCAGCCTGTGGAGGCAAAAGCTGAATCTGGGTTAAAGTGCTCCAAGTCCAAGCTGTGGGGCAGCCGCCTCTTCCTGCAGGCCCTGTCCAGCTGCTCAGAAGCTTAGTTTGGGCAAGGATCTGCTTCATGTTGCACACATGTGATCATGAAGACTGGAAGTGGCTTCTGGGGTGTCATCTTCCCTGACTGGAGAAGCGAGACAATCTATCTGTCTCAGAGGATGTGGCCTTCCTGAAAGCCAAGACACCCTATGTTGTTCAAGACAAGAGCCTGATGTGCTGTGTTTCTGGTTTGTGGGAGCCAGGGGCAGGGTGAGGATCACTGTGAAGATGCTCGTAAGGTGGCAGACACCTACAGCCCCAGCACAAACCCAGGAGCTCGACAGTAGCCTCGGCAACATAGCAGGAGTGGCCTCAGATTTCAGTTTAGTTTGGGGTTTTAACTTATTTTTGAGACAAGGTTTTTATGTGTAGTACTGGCACTCAGAAATCTGCCTGCTTCCACGGCCATGATGCATGGCTAGCTCTGAGTTTTTAAATAATGATTTTATGCTTACAGGAACCAAGAAAAATGCCAATGGACTCATTTTGTTTGTTTTTCGAAACAGGGTTTCTCTGTAGTTTTTGGAGCTTGTCCTGGAACTAGCTCTGTAGACCAGGCTGGCCTCGAACTCAACAGAGATCTGCCTCCCTCAGCCTTCCGAGTGCTGGGATTAAAGGTGTGCTCCACCACCACTGCCTGGTTCCAGGAGGCCATGTCCTGCTGGACACGATGCAGTTGCTTTTCTTCTACCTTACTCCTTTATTTCCAAAGTGAATGTTCACTGCTGTTAACCTCTAGCTGGTAACTCAGCGTTTCCCGCTCCCGTGTTTGCTATTTATTGTTTTTCTTCATGGTTTGTGAGATGCTGGTGAGTCTCAGGGGCCTTTGTTTGGTTGTGGAAGTCGCAGTAAGACACAGAGATTTGGCACGAGACAGTGTTCTTGTTTTTTATCAGGGGAGTCTCTTTAGTTGGTTACTACTCAAAACACTAGCAGAACCACTGTGGCATTTTCTTTGTGAATAGCTATCCTGTCCATGTTAGGTGAAAAAGACGTTTCCAACAACTTAAGCACAAATTTGTCTTTTTTTTTTTTTTGTCAAATTGAATTTTTTTCTAGATCTTTGCTTTAAGAGGGCATCAAAATGTATAGGGGGAAGAGAAGTTCAGGGAAATTGTACAAGAAGCAAAGACAGAATTCAGTTTCAACTTAAAGTTTACAACATACAAAGAATTTATTTATGTAATACAGACCTTTTCTCAAATATTTTCACAGAATTCCATACAGCAATCTACTAGAAAAAAGAATTATATGACACCAAAATAACATTGTTTCTTAGTATAAATTGCTAATCAAAAGGAAGGTAGAGACAGTTTCATAACAAATAGAGGATAGCACAGTCCCTGGCAGCCCCTGATCTAGTGCCAGGAAGGTGGGGGTCGAGGTCGTGAGGGAGTGGCCCCACCTGGCTCTGCCTCACTGCAGGGCACCGACCTCGGGCGGGCTTTGGTACTTACTCAGAAAACTGGTTGTAAGCCCAAGATGGTTTCCATCCTTTCACCTTGTGCCATGAGGACGCCAGACCAGGAAGAAGCAGTGAATATTTTATGATTGCTATAACTTAGATCGTTGCTGTTTACCACACAGTAAAATAAAATAGCCTTCCCCAAACCATAATTTTCTAGGTCTAACACATGCTTGAAGAAGAATATAGAAATAAGTCACTGAGATGTTTTAAATTACATTTGTCATAATTTAAACATTACTATTAAAATCCTAGAAATTTCAGCACTGAAGAAGCACAATTGTCTAGAAAAATACAGGACACCAGTACAGAAAACTCCCTGTCCCAGCATCAGAACCCATTTCCCTATTGCTAAAATCATATTTCTCAAGATTACAGATAAATGGGAAATGGTTTCCACAACATCATTAGCGTTGGTGGGATTGTGGCTCCACAATCTGAATCCATAATTGGTGAAAATAGACTTTTCATTATGACTAAAAATATAGATTTTTCTTAAACTACAGAAACCAGCAGCCAGTTTTCTGCTTTGCTGTTTCCCACCCCCCAAAATGTCAAGCAAAGTCTACAAAAATAGCAATTAACTTTTAAAAATATTTTGCTTGTTCAAGCAAATTTAAGTTACATTCAGATGTGATAGCTATTTCTATAGAATGATGTTCAGAGTTCTTCCTTGATCACCTGTAACAGGACCAAGGTACATTTGTCTCCATCAGTATCGGGTTTGGTACTCATGATGCCAGCGGTTAAAGTCGTTGTAAAACAGAACAATGCTTCCTGAAGCCATGCCGGAAATGATGCACCTGGGGGGGAGGATGGAAATGGGGTCACAGGGCTGTATTTTCTGCTGTGGCTGAAATGTAGACAAAGTAACCTTGGTGTATGGGGCACTGCTCTGTGAAAGGGTAGACACCGTTGTAGTATGCAGAGACTGTCACTGAACTGTGAACCAGATCATTGCCACAGAGCTGGAAGCCATGCTTCCTGCACAGTCAGAAGGAAAACCTGCAGAGCAGTTGCCACTGGAGGGAGCACGCACATTCCAGGACCACAGCTAGTGCTTCTGACAATGCAGAATTTAAGAGTAAGCTGATTGCTGCCCAATTTGGGGGGCGGAAACCCCTAGCCTCTGGGTAAGCACCTGTTCCTTTTAACCCAGTGACCTGATGTGGTGATTGCTGAGACAGGAGCTGCTGCCCCCCCTATCCTGAGAAGGTGGTGCAGGGACAGATGTAGAGCAGCCAGAGGTGGTTCTGCTACTTGAGCCCTTTCCCTGCAGAGTTTGGTCAGGGCCAGTTCTTAGCACATTACATTCAGTGCCTTCCTGTAATTCTTACTGAAATTGGAAATTACAATCTATCACTACAGAAGGGAAAATGAGGGGCAAACTTTCAGCAAACCGAACCAATCAGCAAATAACAAATTCTACAGCCACTCATTAAACCGGCCAAATGGATTAAAAGAGATAACCCAAGTATATGTGGTATACAGGGCATTCATTTTAGAAAAACAAATGGATTGAACAAACGGGCAAGCAGTAATAGTAAGAGAGTTTAAGAGGCCCTGATGTCAGGAGGCCTTAAAACAAAAGCACCATGGCAAGAGACAATGCTATATGTTACTATATGCTATATATGTTACTATATTTACTATAACACACTAAGCATCTGAGCCCCAAGAATGATGTTACACAAGAGGGAAGGGAGAAATACATGATCATCCAGCCAGTTGCAGGAAAGGGAGAAATACATGATCAGCCAGCCAGTTGCAGGGAAGGGAGAAATACATGATCAGCCAGCCAGTTGCAGGCTTTAATACCCTACACTGAAAAACAAAGAATAACCAGACAAATGGATAAGAACCTCAAAATACCACAAGCCACACAGACTGAACACAAAGCCAACAAAAACAAAATACACTTTTGTTTTGCCAATGCACATGGAACAATTTCTGGGATAAAGCATGGATCAAGATTTAATGTGAAATCATGCAAAGTATCTTTTATACTCATAACAACCAGAAGTGAGTAACAAAATGAAAATTGTAAAATACATATACATGAACAGTAACAATTGTATCTAAAAAAAACCAGAAACCACACTAACACAAGGCAGCAAGGGCAGAGAGGAGAGGAAGAGGTGTAGGTACAAACACATTAGAAAGCAAACAATATTACTGACCTAACTTTAAACCTTAATGACCTAGAAAAAGAGTAAACTAAACCCAAAGCTAGAACATTTTAAGAAAATAGCAAGAAATCAAACTAGGACTCAAGAGATCTGCAGAACTGATGCAAATTGAGCTAAAGGTAACGAGAGATTATGAACAATTGTGCACCCAGCAAATTCTGTAGCTCAGATAAGGTTGAAAGATGCTTACTTAGTAAAGGAAAGCTGTAGGCCACATGGTGGAGTGATCCTACTACAAATTTAAAGAAAATCAATCATCGCCGGGCGGTGGTGGCACA